GGAGAAGATCATGGAGCGCATCCAGGAGGTGGCGGCTCAGTCCGGCTTCATCCGGCGCAAGATGCTCCTGTGGGCCATGTCGGTGATGCTGGAGCACAACCTGACCTGCCCCAGCAGGTACGGAGGGCGGAGTCACAGCCCCAGTGTGCGCCCCCGCCCCCCCGGCCTGTCCGCGCTGGGAGCCTGTGCAGAGCCCCGTCCTCTCCCCGCCTCTGGCTCTGACCGTGAGGCCTGACTCCCTCCCTGCCGGGAGCAGGGGCCACGGGGGTGGGCTTTCCCGGCCTCCCAGTGACCTCGCAGTGGCTCTTTAACCCCCACACGGTGCTGGGGGGTTGGTGCGTGAATCTGGCCTGGACCGGAGTAGAAACACTCCGTGGCCGGTGTCCGTCTCATGAGACGTGTGCACGTGTCTGCGCCTGCGCTTCATGTGCACAGACGTGAAGTGGATGTGCATGTCGGCGCAGTTACGGGCTTTCCCACACGTCTGTCCAGGGGTGTCTAGGCGTGACTGCTCCAGTCTCTGCACACGTGTACTCCTGGTGGCCTGTGTGCCCGTACACAGCTCAGTCTGTTTCCTGGCTCGAAACATATGTGCACCCATGTATGTATGCGTGTTCATGGGCAGGGCCAGGATGTGAACTGTTCTGTGACGGATTGGGCCTTGGTGCCGAGCAGTCAGAACAGGCCAGGCCAGTGTGACCCACTGAATACCCATCCTTTCTCTTTAAGGTTTAGTTTGTGGCTTAGAGAGAGGAGAGTGGGAGGGAGAAACATCGAGTTGCTGATGCATTTGTGGGTTGATCCTTGGACGTGCCCCGACCAGGGGTCAGCCTGAGTTCGGGCGCATCCAAAAGGTGTTCTAATAGCTGAGCCCCTGGCCGGGGCTGAGTGTCCAGCCCTTTAGAGAGGACGTGTGTGTGTCATTTCCTCTGGCCCCTGCTCCCTCTCCCTCCAGCGACCTGAAGCCCTTCGCAGCCAGGCTGGCGGATTACCTGGTGCTGGCCAAGGTCCGCCAGGCGCTGGGCTTTGCCAAGTGTCGGAAGAGCTTCTACGGAGCAGCCCCCATGACCGCGGAGACACAGCGCTTCTTCCTGGGCCTCAACATCCGCCTGTACTCGGGCTACGGCCTCAGTGAGACCTCGGGCCCCCACTTCATGTCCAGCCCCTGCAACTTCCGGCTGTACAGGTACCCGGGGCGGTGCCCGCACCCGCCCCCGCTCACACCCCTGCGGCTTGGAGCTCGGGCCCTGGGCTGTGGGGTCTCCAGGGCCTAGCCCCTGCCAGGCCTCCGTCCCAGGGAGCTGGTCTCTGCCGTGTTTCCTGGTCTGTGGTGGAAAGCAGGGCTCCGGGGGAGGAGTTCTCCGTGTACGCCGAGGGCCCAGCCACACGGTGGGAGCTGGGGCAGGGCCGGCCTCTGGTGGGCTGGGGCAACGGTCAGCGCTGAGACGTGGGTGAAGGTCATCTCTCGGGCTGAACGGCCTCCCGTCCCTGCTCAGCCGTCCCAGAACCTGAGTCGTCACATTCACTCATTCATTCACCTGAAACCTCTCCTGGGCCCTGCTGCTCAGCTCCGGGCCCTGTTAGAGTACAAGAGGCCTGGGAGGGGCACCTCTGGCCATCGGGGAAGACGGAGACGTTGGGGATCCCAGGGCCCTCGGGGGCTGACCCCGGGCCTGGAG